TCGCAAAGCATTGGATGCGTAACGACAGTCAGACTTTCCCGGTCGTGAGTATTCAACGATCGACACGTATCTTACGCTGTGTTGCCGTTACGATGGTAACGTTCGAAGGACCATCTATGCATGCGCCCTTAGCCGGGCGGCTGCTGGCCGGTTTGGGAGAAAGACGGCCTTGTTAGACCTCTGTGAGCAAAAAAGACTCCATCATTGCGGTCAATTCGAATAATCTTACGAATGAAGTGAAGTGATCTTCTACGTGGTCTTCCTGACCTTTCCTTAAGTTCAGTCATACTTTTCTTTTGGTATTGCTCGGTTGCCCATTAAGCCAATCTTGTCGGAATCTTAGTGACGAGCAGTTTTTGAGAGGGTGGATGTTTCCAAGAACCTAAAGTGAAAAATATAAATAACTTGTGCAGTTAGCAGAGATTTGGGGCGGTCGTGAAGTGCCAGCATTCAACGGCCGCTTTGTACTATTATATATGGGCTGGAGTGCTTAATCTTAGTGTTGGAGCGACTGTTCCTTTGATAATATCATGTTAATGTTGTTATCTGTTACTTGACAGCCGCTGGCGGTCCTCTGCCATTCTGGATGCACCATGGATCTCCTGATCAATTTCCTCTTAACCTGCTGTGCGATACTTCCTGGTATAATACATGCGCTATACGTGATTTGCCAAGAGCCGGAGCCTGCCATCGTTGTCACTACAAACGTACGTTCAATCTTCCGATATTATCTTAAGGTTTTGTGTTTATTACAATTTTTTGAATCGTAAGCGATTATTTAGGTGAACGTTGCACAGCCTATGTTACCAATGCAGCAGCCAGTACAGCCTCCTTCCGCCCCCGTTTACTATACTCCAGTTGCCCCGCCGCCACCACCTGTCTACTACGCCGATGTAGCTCAGAAGTATTAGGTATGTAACCACCCCGAAGCCTTGCGCGTTGGTTCCAGCTGAAGCATTCCGGTCACGTAAAGCTTTGTTTTTCTTCTTTTTGCTATAGCTATTGCTGTCATTACTCGGATTATATATAAGAGCTTGCGCCTAATCTTACTCTCATCTTCCGAGTTCATCAGTTCCTTCACACTTTCATCTAACGAGCGATTTATCGAACCGGTGAAACTTGAGCCTATCACAGTTTTTGGGCAAAATGAAACGTTACACCGATTGCAAACTATTTCCTAGAGTGGAGTTCAAAAATAACAAATGACAGCAATGGCAATCAAATTTCTGTGTGGTTTTCAATTTTGTTGAACTCTTTGTTCATTGATTTACTTTTTTTTTGTTATTTCAAGATACATGTTAAAAAGGCTCTACATTCGCTACTTTCTCATTTTGTTCTGCCACTTGCTACGTGTTTTTTTGTTGTTGTATTGCCACAGGTTTACTACAAATATTTTGTTTAATTATTTCAGTTGAATGAACAGATTAGTTGTCAGGTTCAGTTGAGAAGTCACGTATTTACAGTGTGTCTGATAATTACCTGATATTTCTGGTTTGATAAGGAAACCACTCGAAGAGTGACAGACTTGAGAGGGTGGGTATCGAGTACCATGTGAAATTCCTTCCTTAGAATTCAAGGTCCGTACTTGCTCCATCCGACGTTTTTTCTTTCTATCTCTCGTTGCTAATTGCTGTAGTCTGTCTGTGGAGGGTTTTCCTGTCATTGTTTGGACCTTTTCCCTTTCGCATTTCTACAATTTTGGAAAGATGTGGGAAGCGTGTCACAACCGAATAATCGGTGGAGCCTATCATTGTTTTTCTCGGGAACACTTAACGTTAATCGTTGAGATTCTGAGCAACGTTACGAACATCCACGCAAACAGGGTGCCTGAGAGTTGATTTACTAGAGCAGAAAGCTAATTTTTAGCTTTTAGCGGCGCGAGACTTTTCGTTGCGGGAACCTCAGGTCCTCCACTGACATGAGTGGAACTGAGGTTCCCTCAGCAGAAAGGCGAAAAGCGGGAAAGTAGCTTTCTGACCCAGCGACCCACACCTGGGTGCCTGCGAAGCGGTCTGCAGCTGACTGCCCATTAGCATTGGTATAAATCTGTGTGATCACAACTAATATTTTCTGCAGTAGAGAAAACACTAAATAATTATTTGTCAACTTAATGGATCTAAATCGGACACATATTGAGTGAAATATCTTATTAAATTCGGTTTTTGATCATCATCATAATGTTCATTTTACAAATAGAAGTAATTGAACGGTTGGAGCGTGAGTAGTGCACGTAGACTGAAAAATCAAGCAGTTCCGACACAATAATGCGTTTCAAAGCTGACTTATTAGGTATTTTAGAGAACATGGTGGTTTCTGAATTTCAGAAATAACTGAGAACGACATCAGAAAGACCACAAAGCGTAGTACTTCAATCAAAAGAACAAACGAGATTGCATGAGATAAGTGGAATTCTTAAGTGCATTCAAGGACACTCCTTAATAGCTATGTACAGGTACCGATACTTTTAGCAATAATTAACGACGCTTGCGGTAATCGCCGATCACATATCACAAACCCATAAATCCAGAATGTTTCCTGAAATTTTCGAGCATAAGTCACATTTCCTCTTGTTGCTATGAAATTATAGCTCACCTGTTTCTGTGCAACTTGAGTTTCTTCAATTTTATGGGTTTGATTTGCAGCGCTTTGGGTGATGATGCATCCTTTGTCGGGACTCGCTCAATAGAGACGAAACTCCTGTCTGAAAATATGATAGACTGATCAAGGGCCGAAAAAACGGTATGGGACACTCTTCCTAAAAGGTCAGCTCGGCTCTTATTTGCTCGCCTCAAGCCCAAGCCCAAGCCTGAAGGCACAACTCCTATCAAATTGGGGGTGGTTATTCCTTCGAAAGTGAACGTTGAGATGTGAAGTGAACTATCAGTGACGAAAAAAAAACCGTCTACACATCGAAAACCTATTTTCGATTGCGACGGAGAGACGTAGGATAGGTAAAGTGGTGGACGAGTTATTTGGATACAGCCGCATCAACTGATTCGTCGTAATCCACTTCAAGGTGGGTGGCCGGGGGGGGGGGGGAGAGTTGAGAATGCAGCTGGCATGGAATCAGATTTACTCCCTCAAATAGGCTCAGATTTGCTCAAATTTACTAACCTCATGGAACCCTAGCGCCTTTGTCGCGCACTTTTGAGCCTAAATTTCACCCGAGGTCATGGTGGTTCGTAGCGTTTTAACTTCTCAAGTCAATGCCTATGCCGTAGAATCACCGCCGTAGGGAGGCTACCGTTCTGGGACTTGCGGTGTATACACGAAAAGTAAGAGTCTGTGTAAATTGGGTTTAAATGGCCGTGGAACTTTTGAGTGGATAGTGAATTGGGCTGATTAAGCTTCAAAGTTGATAAGACAATCAGAACGCGCTAAACAGCGCTGTACATCGTCGGTCCAATATTCGCTTCATCATCTACACCTCTGTTTACGAAGCTCTTCAAATTCAAAGTTTTTGTCAAAGTCAGAATCGAGAAAGCAGGTGCCAGGAGTAGCACTGTGAAACTATGGTTTCACCATTATGCCGAGTGCATGTTGGCAACGGTCGGCTAGGTAACCACGCGACAAATCAAAATGACGTCACGTGTGGGGGGAGACACTTTTGAGATACGAACAGTTATGGCTTAACTGCCGGAGCTACGCTACCTTCTGCCCGTATGATGCAAAGGGTGTCCAGCTAGAACCATTACGAAGGTTCACCCAGGGAAGACACCTTCCAAAGGGGAGCTACGGTAACATGAAGTGTTATTCGGCTGAAAAAAGGAGAAAACGGGTGAACAGTACTCAGTATTTGCATGGTGAGGATGCGATATATCACAATACAGTGAATGGAGGTGAGGTCTAAAAGTGGTGGAGCGTGCGTGAAGATTCGTTGATTTCCCTGCCCATCAGCAGGAAATTTGCCGCCCTTTTCTCTCGCCGAGTTCGTACGATCTACGCCGGACGTACAGTATTGATGCTTTTTTTCTTCCCTTGTTTCCATGGATTCGGTTAACCATGACGCGGCCCAGCATGACCGACCAGTCCAATGGGCGCGAGCACGCTCGACGGCTGTCGTGGTGGGACAGCTCGTAAGTGTTTCAATACAGTGGATAAAGCATAATAGTGAGCGGAGTTTATTTGTCAGGAACGTGCCGGACAACGCGTACCGTGCAATAAGTGCGACTAAGCGGAAACGGCGATACCCTTATCTTTAAGGGCCGCTGTGAGGTGATTTTTCATTGAGGCGAGCTCATGGGGAAGGCGGAGAGAGACGCGGTGCTTAAAGTGAAGATTCGGAAAATTGTGAAGGGGGGATAGGCACCGGTGGGTGAGTGAGTTAATGAAGGCGCGTGAGGTTTGGTCGAAGTGAGTGAGTGAGTGAGTGACCAGGACGGTCACTACGGAGGATGTTGAGGAATGAACGGCTATGCTGGTTTAGCTTGAAGACGCGGCAGAAGCACATAGACGGTGACTCGTGGGACAAAGAAGAAGGTGGATGGCGAAGGAAGTGATAATGACTAAAAAAGGGCTACTTTTTAGAGCTTATTGGCGTACCAAGGGTCATGTGCAGTCATGTGCACTTCATTGCAATTTTACAGCCCTTTTGCCTGGTCATATCACTTCCCTTCCGATCTTCCATTTCCTCCGATCTCGACTAGCCATCCCTACTTCATTTTTCTTTAGAGTTTGTACTGCGTTTTGTATAGGTTTATGGGCGATGGGTGGAGGTGGATTAGTAGTCATATAAGCAATCAGAAATATGCTTATAACCAATCGGAGAGAGTTCAGGTGAGGAAGTGCAAACCGTTCTCGAAGTAGAGCTGATGTTGGACGTGAGAAGGTTCAAAATTTCGTCGGAGCCGAGATCGAATCCACAGCGTGTAGTTTGCATACTCCGTCGAGCATTTCGAAACTCGCTGAAACTTTTGCAATCAATTATCGCATTAATTGGAGGTATCGAAAACGGTGTAGAATTTGAGATTCCTCAACTACGAATTTCAGCTATTTTTGTGCCTCGGTTTTTTTCACAAAACTAGAGATACCTGGGGCACGTGAATCTGGCAAATTGTGAGCTCGGAGAGGCGCGGACTTGTCCCGTGTAAGGTCAGCACACCCTTTCAAGATAGCTTCCGGAATTTCGTTACTGCAGGTTTCGCGGCACAGGTCGCAGATATTTATCTTCTCTGCGTGCAATTAAGGCGATGTTAAACTTTGCGGATTCGAGCGATTCGTTTTTACTAGCGATCCGCGGTCTCGCCGCGTGCAGCGAATGGCTCGATTCACAGTATGCGACGCGATCACGGACGCTAGCGAATCGCTCGATCCGCAGTCTGACATCGGCCTAAGCACCTCGCCGCCGTGCGCGCGGCATCGCCTGCTTACCTCTACATCACTTGCAATTTTTCCCTTTTGTCTTTCTATTTGATTGTGTTTGATACCCACTATGTCCGTGTTTTCGATTTCTCCGTACAGTTCTGATTTTTGATTTTTCTAATTTCCTAATTGATGGAACTGGGAGGTAAGCAATATAGCCGTGTGCTTGTTACTTACCCGACATGAGTATTCAGTACTGAGGACACAGAGTTCAACGCAAAGCTTTAGACCTTCGTAGCCGGGAGGAAGACCTTCGAACAGTTCCTGAGGTTGGACCTGAAAACACAGTCACTATAAGCCGTTGCAGTAAAGCTATTCTTGGTGTTCACACACATTCAGCAGAAGTCATTCTAGCTACCCTCTTGCTGCTCAGAAAATCTCCTGCGTTTGAATGGCTTATAAGATTCCTGAGAAAGATATAGCCAAGCCGTGTTAAGCAATATCAGTGGAGGTGAAGTGGCGGATGTTTGACATTTCTGTACCCCTCGTTCAATTTCCAGCAAAAAGAGAGACACTGGAAAAATAGGGGCTTTTGCAGCCAAAGCTTGCTAACCTTTGCCCATCGCATGTTTTTTTTAGAATCTGCTTTCAAACAATGTACATATAAGACTTTTTTCATTAGGTAGGTTGGGAGGATCATAAAAGTGGGTTGTAAGGGCAAAGTTGGGCGATAGAAGTAGTTTAAAATGAGTAAAGTCCAAGAAGTGACGAGTGTGAAAGGGGTGAGGGGGTAGTGCTCAAGTTGGGAAGTTATTGAGAGGGCGTATGGAGTGATAGGTAAGTACGATTTTAGAGTGGTTTTGGCTGTGAATAGGTAAGTATAGGAAATCTTAGAGCGGAAAGTGTCTGTGGAGGAACTGGAAATGATGGAAAATTATGTGCTCACCGTTAGTGAATAGTCTCTGAATGCAACAAAGTTGGCGCAGCCATGGAAAGGAGAGACAGTATCTGAAAACGTTAATTATTACATTTTAGTAATGGGAAAAGAGAAAGTTTTTCTTGCCTGGATAGCAGAATTTGAGAGTGGTTTTGGCTGTGAATGGGCCCATTGCAGGTGGACGAAGATTCACACCTTCGTCTTCGGTATTCACCATACACTGCTGATCATCGTAGAACGTGAAGGAATTGCAGGACTGGAAACAAAACAACAAAAATTATATAAGCTGTTTAGTCTTTCTGTGAGTTGTTTATTGCTCTGCCAAAAAGTTTAATATTTTCTGGAGAGTACTCTGGGAAGGTTGTGTCAAATTTGCGATGCGTGCTGCCTGGTTCACGAAGGCATGCGTGAAAATCGGCGGTATCGACGGCAAAAATCCTGATTCGGGTAAAGAACAGCCCAGAGACCGGAAAAATGGTGAATATGTACGGAAGGTTTTAGGGAGGACACATCCGCGGTGGCGGATCTCCCTTGATTGATGGTCTGTCTACAAAACTCTAGTGAGAATAAGGTATTAGAGGAAACAAGCAAGGCTAAGGTGTACAAAGCACGGTTGGAGTTTGCGGAGGCTCTCTTGAAGTGGGCGGAGCTGGCACAAGATGGGCGGGGCCCTCACGATTCTTCATACTCCAGCTATTTTTTTAATATGATCCAATCGAGACAAAAAAAGTTGTCAGGCCGGGTGCAAAAAATCTTCAGGCAGGGAGACTTCTCAAGAATGAAACCACTTGCCTCATTTTCGCACATCTGCCGGCATGCATCCCAATCTTCAGCGAAAGTGCTATCGATGAGCTCGCTGCCAACAGAATTCTCGAACGTCAACCATATAGGAACTTTGCCTTTCGAGCAACCTTAAATAATAAATATAGTTGACTTAATCAGTGCATATTTATTGTCCTTGCACCAAACATTCTGATTTCATGTGCACACTGATCGCTGTCAAGCCCTAGGTTTGCTTGGCAGCGACCCAGCATGAACATAATATCGGCATTCTTTCAAGGGAGCGGTCGATGTCAATGAATTATGGAAAGAGAGGCGCTTTTTGGGGCGGAAGTGAAGAGGATACCGAGAGCTAGGGAAACCTGATTAATAAATTCTTCTTCACGTACTGATTTTGGGGCAGATAAGCTAACGACAGGTGATAGATGGTGACCTTTTGGGTGTGACTCACCCACTATCTTGAGGTGAATTCGATAAAAAACACGATCCGAATAGTTGCGAATAATCCTCACCGCTTCTACACTAATGACCAAGTACGAGTTTTGAAGAGTTCGGCTGGTTTTCAGCGCTATATCACTAGCCTACAACCACTAAACCGTCCCTAGTGGGTCCTTTAGGTTCCTCTTCACTCTCACCACACCAATTCCTGCTCACCCATTCGCACTCATATTATCGTTTTCACAGTCTTCCAGTTCGTCCTCTTGTCGGGTTTAACTGCTTTTTGAACCACAATCAAATTTTCGACGGTTGTTATCCCGTCTTCAGGCAGATATGTAGGTAGCTGTTGGTGGCTATGTTCCAAAATCTGCGAAGTGCTATCGTGACCCCACCGTAAGCTGGGACGCGGTTCCAATTCTAACGTAATTTTCAAGCCGTTCCCGTGAAGTGAGAAAAAAACATTACCATTCCTTCTAGATACATCAAGTCAGCACACCGCGATCTCTACAAGATTGAGCCAAGCTCTTTTGTATGCTCAATTTAATCCCTCAACGACTTGGAATGAACGGTGGCTTATGTAGCGATTAGGTAGTGGCTCACCTTACCCATTCTACTTTCGTCTTTACTTATAAGTCTCATCACGTACTTATAATCTCATCAAAATGATCCATCTGGCAAACGCTGATCCATCTGATCCCATCAAAAAAGACACGATGCATGGCGCATGTTCCCCATCGTATGGATTCAAGCAAAGCATGAGGCGTACTAGCTGGCCAAGGTAACGAAAAGTTCTAGTAACGAGAGGAGTGAAAAGGTTTTTAGAGAAAACAGCCCAAAATGCGAGCAATATCCCTACCAGCAATATCTCCATTGGCTACCATCGCTGAGCTATCCAGTTGAGGTTCCACAACGTTGTTCTTCAATCCGTGAGATCGATTCTTTTTAGTGTTGACCATCTCCAGGAAATTGCGAGCCTTGTTGACATACGACGGTGTTGTTGGACCACCAAGAGTCACTTGCTGCAATAAGAACTTCTGTAGGCTGATGAAGGGTCCAAAGGTGATATTCAAGTCAAGAAATAAATTGGTTTCGGTGGGCTGCGGTGGATTTGATTTTCAGGACATGCTCCCCATCAAGTGTTGCATG